TTTTTTGGGGGGTGACATGAAGGCCTTCAATTGGGGGTGACACAAAGACCTTCAATTGGGGGTGACATGAAGGCCTTCGATTGGGGGTGACATGAAGGCCTTCGATTGGGGGTGACATAGAGACCTTCAATTGGGGGTGACATAAAGGCCTTCAGTTGGGGTGACATGAAGGCCTTCAGTTGGGAGTGACATAAAGGTCTTCAGCTAGGGGTGACATGAAGGCATTCAGTTGGCGGTGACATAAAGGCCTTCAGTTGGGGTGACATGAAGGCCTTCAATTGGGGGTGACATAAAGGCCTTCAGTTGGGGGTGACATAAAGGCCTTCAGTTGGGGGGTGACATAAAGGTCTTCAGTTGGGGGTGACATAAAGGCCTTCAGTTGGGGTGACATAAAGAGCTATTTTTCTATAATCCCACCGGCGTTTATGCAGCCGGTTTGGATGCCAACACTGTGTGGCGGAGTTCTCCTTTAAGGTGAGATTTCCTGGTACAATCGCTCCTTTCTGCCGTGTTTATGAAAGTAACACAAACACATCCTGACATCCAACACGTTGTTCCTTTAACTTTGCGAGGAACTGACAGACGCTGGGCCGCGTCCACCAAAACACGGGCCGCGTTCGCAAACTCAGGAAAACTTCGGAGCTGCTTTGTAGGAAAGCTCCCAGAAAACTCGTGAGATCCTTCACCCCGGAGACTGAGGTCAGATGTTCTGCCTCCCGGCTGGCTGGGACGGGTCTGGACAGGCAAGGAACGTCTCGGTGAAGGATTCCGGCAGCTTAGGAGGATTATTCCGATGGGAAGACATCCGCAGAGAAACCCGGAAACCCGGAGACGTCTCACACTGCGAGCGACCCGCGGCCGGTGAGATCACATTTTCCATCTGCTCCCCTGGATTTGGGGATTTAATAACCAGGACCGCGATGTTATTGTAAATAATGATTTATATGACAATTAATGTAAACCGTGGAGACGATCCGCCCATTGGCGAGAACTCACCGCGAACACGTGACGCATGACTAAAGTAGCTGTAAAAGAGGGGGTCATGTGAGGCCGCCAAGAGGAACTTCGGGCGAAAACTAATCCGCAAACTGCAACATTGTTACTGTACTGAAGACAGCTCAGCGTATGAGAACCCGGACCTCTCAGTATCTTGGCGGCCCGATCACGCCATCGAGCTGCGTGATGCTGTGCGTCAATGTGTGTTAAGGCGGCTCATTCCATATAAGTGGGCTTCCAATGCGCCAAAAAAGATGCACGCATCATTTCTGACAGCACACTATACCACAACGCATGCCAGCGCAATCTTCACCTTTTATCAATAAAAAGCCGTCCTTCAGTTCCAGTCAATTACTTTGCCCAGGCTGAGATGATGTCATCAGTCTGCTGCAGGCAGGAGGAAGCATTTCCTCAGTCTTCCCTCCCCCAGGGATCAGTCTGCTGCAGGCAGGAGGAAGGATTTCCTCACTCTCCCCTCCCCCAGGGATCAGTCTGCTGCAGGCAGGAGGAAG